GAGAGAGAGAGAGAGAGAGAGAGAGAGAGAGAGAGAGAGAGAGAGACTGAGGGAGATTGAGAGAGAGCCTGGCAGGCACCGGCGGCTGGCTGCCTAGCGCGGCGTGTCCTGTGCGCGCCGGCTGGTCCGCCCGGAATCCCAGGGCGGGCAAGCGAGTGCATCTGCCTCGCTATAAGGACGAGCTTCGGAGGCGACTTGCGGTGCCCTGCGGGGTGGGAAGAACAAAACCAAACCGGCAGTGCTCTGGCCGGGAGAAACTGGCCACGCTAGGCTCTTCGCCGCTTATGTTAACCACGAACATCCCCATTGGGCGTCCTAGCCCTTGTCTCTGCTCGGAAATTGTCCTGGCCAACTCAGCGCTAGGAGCTCTAGAAGATTACTGTATTTTCATTTCCTAGCGCAGAGAAAGTGACCCCGGACGGAGGAGGAGGAGGGGGAGGAGCAGGAAGCGGAGGAGGAGGAGGAGGAGGAGGAGACACCCCCTCCAAAGAATAAATAAATAAATAAATAAACTGGCTGCTCGCCGCAGCTCGACCCGGTCGATTGAGCCCAGGTCGGTGGCCTTTGGAGTTTTCTCGTACTGTTTGGAAACCCATCGCCGTTCTCCCTCTCTCTTGTCCCAGACACCCTTTTCCATCTTGTAGGCCAACTTTGGTTTCCCTGGGGAGGAGTGCTTGTGGCTCGGGTTGCACCTGCCGGGCTGCAGGGGTGCTTCAGCCGAGCACTCTCTCCCGCGCTGTAGTGTGAATGCGCGGAGTCCCCCGCGCTTGGACTAGGGAGTGGAGGGCGCGCATCGCATAGGGGCGAAGAAGCCGGGTTCCCTCTCGCCCGACTGCTCTGGAAAGGAGGCGAGCTTCGGGGGTAGGGGGGTTGGTGGGTGTCGGCGACCGGGTGTAGCGATTGGTGGTTTGGAAGCAGAGGGCCGGCGGCAGAGCTGGCGCACGAGCAAGAGGAGGGGGCGGCCAACTTCCCGGGAGAAGGGGCTCTTTCCACGCCGGAACTGGCTAGCAAGCCGCAGCCGCCGCCGCCGCCGCCGCCAAGGGCTCGACTCAGGGCAGCTGCTGTCTTCGCTCGCGGCGCTCGGAAAGTAATATTGATTTATTTATTTGCTTGCCTTCAGTCTCTTGGGTTGCAACCGATAGACCCCCTCCCCTTGGACTTTGAGAGCCTGCGTCCGACCTCTGCAGCCCGCCGCAGCCCGCCTAGCCACCCCTCCTCTCGTTGCGCGCACATGCATTCCCAGCGCCCGGACCCGGGTGGGGGTGGGTCTTCACCCGGTGTTGTAAAGTCCCCCAAGGCGGGAGCGAGGGAGGGGAGAGGGCTGCCGGGGGCGGAGGTTTCAAGGCTCTGGGCTCTCATTTTAAAGCGCCTTCTCCCTTCCAGGTTGGGTCGGACCTGAACCCCTAACAGCAAAACCGCCTCCCGCCCTCACGCCCTCCCGGAGCTGAGTCGCCGGAGGCGGCGGCGGACCGGCCGGGGGTTTCTTCCCGCACTGGATGGAGCTGAACTTCAGGCTACCAGGGAATCGCGGCCATCCGGAGATCGCTGCATGCTGAGCTCCTTTCGGAGAGACCCAGCGGCGGCTCGGGATTTTTTTGGGGGGGGGCGGGGACCAGCCGCGCGCCGGCACCATGCTCCTGGCCACCCTGTACTTCGCGCTGCCGCTCCTGGGTAAGTCGAGGCCTCCACTGACTTTCTTACCTACTAAATCTTTTTCAAGGGTGCCGTACGGCACCCCCTCCCCCTTTCAAAAAATTGCGGCGAGAGTGCGGTGGATGTGGGAGGAGGAAGTTTCGTTTTGGGGAAGGAGATCCCGAGTCCCCGGGCTTGGGAAGCGGTGACCGCGCGGCGCTGCCTGGAGCGCTTCAAGCTTGGCTTGTATTTGCTGTGGCTTTGAGTAACCCCGACTGGAGGCGAGCGGAGGAGTGGGAACCCTCCAGCCCCAGGTCTGGCGCCCCTTTCGAGCCCCGAGGAGCTGGCGGAGGCGCGCGGGCAGGTGGAGTGTGGGCGCACACTGGACCGAAAGAGCAAACTTCGAAGGGAAAACTTTTCTCCGAATAACGTCTCGGCGCTCCCCGCCGGGCAGGCTGCGGACCGCTGCTCGCCCGCCCTTCGCCCGGCTCCCGGAGCGCCTCCACGCTTCCGCCCCGAGCGCCCCGGGGCTGAG